TGGTGAAAATCACTTCCAAAAATGGTAGATAAATGGAGTTCACCTAGCTTAGTACACATGTGATAGACTGGAAAAAGATACAGTATTTGAAGCAATACATAGTGAAGTGATTTTAAAACAATGAGCAGGATCCAAATTTAAGGAGAAATAACTGAAAGAAGGTGCTGTGCGTACAAACTCAAAGTGGAGGAATGGGCCTAACTGATCCTGGAAATGGTTTCATGGGAAAAGATAGAACAGATGCTAGGAAGGACAGAAAAGTATGAATAAAAATAAGCTTGGAAGCTTAGAAACTTTTTGACCTTGAACCTTAACAAGTCTCCTCTGAAAAAGAGAAAAGATGCTTTGCCTTACTTCACTAAGGGCCATGTTTAGCAATTCAAAATGTTTAGAAAACTATTAAATATAATCCTATTATTACAGTCTGTAGACCTTTAAAGTCTGTGCAGGTGAGAAGTCTTTCTACAGTAAAGCCTACCTCTCATATAAAGCAATTAAGAATATAGTGTTTCAGGCATTAAAAGCAGGAAGTAAAAAACTACAAGAGGGCTTTGATCTATTTGGAGTTGATTCTGGTGCAGGGTGCTATATAAGTATCTAACTTTAGTTTTCTATAGGTGTTTAACCAATTTTGCCCTCACCATTTACTTAGAAGGCTGTTTTTCTTCCATTCTATTTTTTTGGCTCCCTTATCAAAGACCAGGTGGCTATAGGTCTGCAGGTTCATTTCTGGGTCTTCAGTTCTATTCCATTGGTCCTCAGGTCTGTTCTTGTGCCAGAACCAAGCTGTTTTGATTAGTATGGCTGTGTAGTAGAGTTTGAAGTCTGGTATTAATATTCCTCCAGCACCGTTCTTTCTGCCAAGGATTGTTTTAGCTATTTGGGGTCTTTTATTGTTCCTGGAAAGCAATATGGAGGTTCCTCAAAAGACTACACATAGAGATTCCCTTGACCCAGCAATCCACTTCTGGGCATTTACCCCCAGTGATCATAAACAAGGCCATACTAAAGCTACCAGCACAACTACGTCTATTGCAGCATTATTCACCGTAGCTAATATATGGAACCAACCCAGATGTCCCTCAGTAGATGAAAGAATGACATCACCCCATTTGTTAGGAAATGGAAAGATGGGAAAAATCACATTAAGTGAAGTAAGCCAGACCCAAAGAAATATAGGCCCCATGGTTTCCCTTATTTGCAATAATTAGTATATGTCTAAGATAATCTTATCAAATGAGCAGAAAAGCTCAAAAGCTATGTACACATGACCATATAAGATGATGCTAAGCGAAATGAACCCCAAGATATGGACACAATACATTTTTCTTTGTTGTTGTTTTTAATGTACTATGTGATTTTTTTGTTTCTTTTGTATGTCCTTCCTCCTATGTTATATTCCTGTTGTCACTGTATTTGATTTTGGTATCTTACATCTTATCAAATTTGGGGAGGGGAATGGGGAATAACAAAATGCTGAAACAAGGACACAGGATGACCCATTGCAACAGTGATACTCACAAGACACTATTGGAAATGAAATTCACAACTTTGGGAGAGAAGGAGTATAGGAGGTGTGGAGGGAAGGGATAGTAGGAGAAAAACAAAGGAGAGGGTAACAATGCTCAACAAGAAATGTACTCATTACTTTACTGATGTAACTGTAACCCCTCTGTACAGATCTTTACAAGAAAATAAAATTTAAAAACTACAAGAACAAAATTAACTCCCTTTCTACTATACCTATTTTTAGGTATAGTAGTTATATTAAGTTAAAAGAATAGGAGACATAAAGGAGCTATCTAAATATGACTTCTCCTTTGAGATGTTAAAAACCACTGTAAACTATAACAGGTAAAAAGACAAGAGTACTAGAAAGTATGCTTGGCAGAGGTTAAGTCCTAAAATCACCCATCATCCCTGTGTTTTTAGTAGGTGATCATATTTTCATGTTTAAGATCAGTTAATATTACCCATTTACCCACCCAGAATTATCTTCTAAACATTAGGAGTGGATATGACCAACTTCACCATTTTGAATATTAACCTACTGTTTTCCTACACAGGGTGAAGAAAAGTATTTCTCTTTTTCCCCCTTTTTCTCTACTTTCCTGTTATACTAAATACAAATTCTTGCTAAAATTTCCACCTTGTGAGACTTGTCCTTATGCAACCCCTGCAATGTTTTTCATGAGTAAATCTCAAGGACTTATAAAACTTGTGGAAGGTGAGGGAGCCCTTCAATTATCATCCATTTCTTTTATTTTAAACTTTTTTTTTTGTCGGTCATGGGGCTTGAATTCTCAAATCTCATCTTTATAGTTTACTTCAGTAAACTTGTGTTTCCACATACTTTGAACCAGGAATGATTCAAGTACTTCAAGTATTTCACTGTTTTTATTTATTAGAAAATTAGATGTTTTTTTTTTTTTAAGGATTTGGGTAGGGCTAGTAGAATCAACTTTCCTTACCATTTCCACTCAATATCAATCTTTTATGTCTATTGATAGTCATTACACTGACAACTGTACTTGTATGTTTCTATAATATAGGTAGGCTTGTTCTATCTCTTTTTCCCATTTGTACCTTTGGATCACTGAATTAGACTATTGTAGTTCATTAAAAGTCAGCTCTTTAAATGTGCTGTGGTTGTGTATTTCATCGGAAGCAATTTCATTTAATCTCCACATGTTACAAAAAAGATCAAAGCTCATTAACATGACTTCCCAATAATGAGGATGGTTGGCAGCCACGCTTCAAAACTATGATCACAATTTCTACTACAGGCCTTTGTAGAACACCACACACTGGCATCACTTAAAATTTACTAAGTGCAACTGGTATATGAATGTACATATATACACACAAAAAAGAAAAAACTTACCAAGTGATGTGAACAGGAAGTTATTATAAATAATTAAGTATAATTACATTTTCCTATAGAGATCACCATTCCATGAGCTTGTTCTCATGAGCCTTGTAAACATGCCTCCCTCATCTTGTCCAATTTCTTGAGTTTTAAAATAGTTTTGAACGATTACTATGTTTTTACTTGGTAAGATTCTGAGCTTAAAAGGTGAGAAATTCCCTTTTTTAGATACTCACATGATTTTTTTCCCCATAAGCTTCAAGAATCTATTTTTAATGCTTGTAGAATTGGTTTCATTATACTCATATTATGGATACTATTTTATTGAGATAAAACTCTATCAAATGTAAGGGCACTTAGATTCTACTAATAAACAAAGATGAACTGGATTTAAAGAAACTAGATAAATGATTCATGGGAAGATCTTAAGCTAGGGAAAAAAATTACTAAGATCCATAGTGGTCTCATATTCATTTCTTCTTCTGTTGAACCAAATAAGTCACAATAAACAGGAAATGAAGATAACTATTTTAGTAATTTTTTTCCATTCTCAAGAATTCTTATTTCTGAGCAGACAGAAGGTGCCCTAGGTTTGTGGATCAAAACTTGTACCTCAATGACCAGTAACACAGTCCTCTTTTATAGATATGTGATCACTTTTTTGTTGTTGCTAAAATGTACATTATAAGCCAGGTGCTGGTAGCTCATACCTGTAATCCTAACTACTTAGGAAGCAGAGATCTGAGGACCATGGTTCAAAGCCAGCCCTGGCATGAAAGTCTGTGAGACTCTTATCTCCAATTAACCACCAGAACACTGGAAGTGGTGCTGTGGTTCAAAGGAGTAGAGCACTAGTCTTGAGTAAAAAAAGCTCAGGGACAATGCCTAGACCCCTAATTCAAGCCCCATGACTGACAAAGAAAAGAAAGTGTATTATAATCTCATAACTAACATATACATATGCATATAAAAACATAAATGTGGAACTTTAGGTTTTTATAGTCATACTCCTATTTCTTACTAGAAGAAAGTTGCTACTTAAAATCAGAGAAATGATTATATTTCTGATACTTAATGAGATCACTTCATGTAGGAATGATACAGAAGTTCCCATTTCTACAGAAAACAGATGTAGGAATAAGAAAAATTCTTTTAAGTCAAAATAAATACAGAATATATTCAAAGGTTGAAGTCAGCCACCAAGGATAGGACAGAAATCTTTTAGAATAAAAATTTATATTATACTTGGAAGCCCAATTGATCAGACAGAGCTTTGGCAATGTAATCCAAAGACAGACTGACTGACTGACTCAGACACAGTTTGACAACTGCCAACATGACTGTTGGGAGGATTGCCAAAGAGCCAAAGGCTGGGATTACCATCCAAAGCCTGGCATTCTGGTACATGTATCTAAAGCTTTCTCTCTTATACTCCATCCAATGTTTTTGTTTGGCTCAAAAGTAGCAAGGATTCACAGATCTTTAAAAATCATTAAATGTTCTTATTTTCAAGAAATATAACATTAGTTGTAAAAAAAACACTTTTTCTGTGAAGTGTAAAGAAAATTTTGATAAATCCTTTTACACTCAAATAAAGGAATAAGTGTTAAAATCTGTTTAAATCTTCATTAAATCTTTATTTTACTTATTATTTATTTATTTAGTCTTCAAAATAAAAACTACATATTCATAATATGAAGTAATTTAGTATTTCATTGTATTATAATAGACCTAGTCCTTTGTGCAGACCTACTTTCTTGATTTTCACAGGGCCCAGGAGCTCCATTTGACTAAGTCATCTCCTGTGAGAAGAATCAGTGATAATGAAGTTTATCCAAAAGAAGAGGTAGTTGTTCAACTATTTCCTTAAGTCATGTTGAAGGCAGGCAGACAAAACACCTTGTTGAGCAACAACAAGATGTGTGTTTTATTTTCTCATAACAATTAATACTTCTTGGCTTGCTAAGTTGCTGGCCAATGAAGTATGGTGGGTTTTGGCCTACAAAGTTTGACAAAATTCTACCATTAGGCAACTTATCTGTCATTAGGCAAATTCTACATTAGAAATTCTTACAATGCATACAGAGATGTTTCTTTAAAAAAATCCACATATTCCACTGAAAAAGCTTACCTTTGGATCTCTAAGGAATAGAGCTTTAAGAATCAGTGAGTGTACATCCCCGATGAGTGGGTAATGCATTAGAAGGCCCAGGCAGGTCTGGTAGTTACTAGAAATCACTAAAATAAAAGGGGAAAATAATTCAGATATAACACACTGTTTAAGGTATTTTTCATTGGGAATGTAAAAGATATGACAGCAGCAAAGAAAACCAATAATTCACTGATTTCATAAACATAAGTGAGGAGAAGGATTTTTACCAAATGGCCTTGGAAGTAGCATATTGCATTGTTAACTACAATCTAATAGCACTTTCCTGAGGGAATGTCAGAAGAAGAACTTCAGATACAGTTATGTGTGTATGCTTGCAATATAAATAAATTTTTAGATGCATGCATATTACCACCATTTATATGGTTGTCTTCAGTTTTATGTCTTAGAAAGTAATAATAAAAACCTATGAATGGGAAAGAGCCAGTGAAAAATTCTCATAAAATAATATTTACCTTGATTAGTAAGTTTCAAAATTTACACGTTACATTTACTTTTTTTTTTTTTTGTCCATTGTGGGGCTTGAACTCTGGGCCTGAGCGCTGTCCTTCAGCTCTTCAGCTCAAGGTTAGTGCTCTATCACTTGAGCTACAGCACCACTTCCCATTTACTCTTTTAAGTATATGAATAGTACATAATTCAAAATTAAAATGAAATATAATTTCCTACAATTATTTGTTTTTCTACAATAAGAAATTTAGAGAAAGAATAGACAGAAACATAATTTTTTTTCTTAGAGAAAAAAGGTCAAAATCTTCAGAGATAAAAATCTATGTTCCATATTCTGTCATTTAATTTTTTTCAAATCAACCTAATTATAGGTAAATTTATTAAACATCTTTTCAGGCCAGGCAGTATAAATGTCTTTATTTCCAGGCTTGTTTTGTAAGCCACGATGACTGCCTCCTTCCACAGCACCGATTGTATAGGAACTTTACAGCTACAACTTCTGTATGTATGACTGAATCTATTTTATTGATCAATGACTTGAGAAAGTTCCATAGTAAAACAGCCGTGATTTAACACACACACAAAAAAGCAACTATTTGTAATAAGAATTACCAGTGATTTGGGGATGGAGATGTGGCTCAGTTGATAGACTGCTAGACAATGAACGAAAGCATCAGCTACTGCTTTGAAGTCCCAATCTCACAACAACAACAATAAGAAGAAATACCACCAATTCTTATAATTTTTTCCTGTTGTAGGAAAGGCCATTTTGGTAGCTCCCCACCTGTCCCTTTCTATGAGCACTACGGGGAAAGGAGACAGGACTGGGCAAAATGAATAATTATAATCGATGTAAGGGACTACTGTATCACCTTCATTTTCCGTTGCTGATCTGACAACTTGTAATCATTCATATGCTTTCATTTGTAAAACACTCTCTTATCCTACTTTTTCTATATCTGTTCAGACTTTTATTGGTTCATGTTTCCATATTCATATTCAGCTACCTTTTGTCCTTTTTCTAAGAGATTCATAAAACTAGGATACAGTAATTAAAATGTTTTCATATTCAGAATCCCCATCTGGGACCCCAGGGGGCCTTGAGAATACGAGACAAAACCCCTGGACTACACAAGGCATGAACCCCAGGCTTAGACTCTGCACAGGCAGCAGCAGCGAGCCAAAGTTTCTGATCAGCTCTGGAATAACAAGGGAGAAACAATAGATACTCTACAGTGCAATGTGTGCTTAAGCTATGATGCTGGTAAGCTGAAGGAAACACCCCAAACCCAACATTCTTTTTGAAGATAAGGAAACAGGCCCAGAGAGGGGGAGTGACCCATACAAGAGTACACTGTGATGTAGAGGTAGCAGCCAGAGAGAAGGACCTATACACACCTCTGGAACCTGAACAGGCAAATTCATGTTTCTACTGTGAAGTCCTCTTAGCAGCAGGGCACGGGATATAAGTACCCCTCCTCCTTCACTGTCTCCCAAAGATGGAGTCCAAGCCCACACTGCATGTTGACTTTTCACCTCAAATGGCATAATTGTCACATTGAATGCAAATGGTGATTAGTGAGTAAAGCAGATGCATTGCACTCAACCTCTGACCAAGAGACTGGCAGTAAGTCATTGTCTTCCACAGCCACTTCACTTACCTAAACAACATGGTATGTATCAGAGGGTCATCAAGATATTCCCTTCTTTTACCTTCCTTTTCCTTTCTTTCTTTTCTTTCTTCCTTTCTTTCTTTTTCTTTCCCTCCCTCCCTCCTTCCCTTTCTTTCTTTCTCTTTCTTTCCTTTCTTCCTTCCTTTCTTTTTCTTTCCCTCCCTCCCTTCCTCCTTCCCTTTCTTTCTTTCTTTCCTTTCTTTCTTTCTTTCTTTCTTTCTTTCTTTCTGTCTCTCTCTCTCTCTCTCTCTGTCTCTCGCCTAGGCATTGTCCCTGAATTTTTTTTTTGTTGTTGTTGCTCAAGGCTAATGTTCTACTTGAGCCACAGCGAGATAAGAGTCTCATGGACTTTACTGCCCTGGCTGGCTCTGAATCTCAATCTTCAGATTTCAGCCTTCTGAGTAGCTAGGATTATAAGTGTGATCCACCAGGAACCGGCTACCAAGATCATTTTTGCCCTCACATTCTGTGGTGATTGTGGGTCCGGGCATCCTGAAAATCTATTTTGAAGAAACCTTTCATCCAACTTCAACAGTAGTCAAAAGGAATCTTTGCCCCGACAATTGTTGATTTTACTTTCTCAAGAGAAAGAAGAGTTTCAGGGATGGGACCAGAGATGGAGTCCACCCTGGCTCTGGTGTATGTAAGGATATGTAGATAAGGTACCCAGATTCTGAAGAGACATGATGGCATCCTACAGGAACAGAAGGCCTCTGGCCTGCTTGGTCCCCAAGGAGAGTGGTAGATATTTACTTCATTCTCAGTGATTAATGAGCTTCTCCAATGGAGTCAGGCAAGCAGAGTAGGAGTAAGGGTGGGGTATATTTTGGAAATTATCTTGTCTTCATATTATTTTAATAGTTCAAACTAAGGACTCCAAGGTATGCCAAAGAGTACTTTGCCAAGTTATTCGATAAAACTTTGGTGATTTCTTGGATAGCTTGCATAAAAGTGAACCACTTCCCTGGGTAATTTGGATGGTGTTGACAACACTACAGCTCCTCTTGGAGATTTGTATGCACTTTAGAATGTTCAATGCTCTGAGAAATCCTGCAATAGAAACACCTATGTAATTTTCATTTAAACCAACCTCCTCCACATATTTTGGCCTCTTCCTCTTCAGATCTGAGGAAAATCAATTGATCTTATACCTCAAAAAGTACTTTGCCAAATGATATGACGATTAGTATATACTAGTAACTAGCCAAGAAAGAATTCCAATATATATTTTTTAAAGAACTAGTAGAGTTTTGTGGAAAGGGTTCTGGCCTCAGTATTTAAAGATGTAGGTTTGAGTCTAGGACACATTTGGAACCTTTGATAAAGTTGCCTAGAATGATATAATTCATGACTGACTTACAGATGTTCCAGACATGCATGGATAACTCCTATGAACTTAAATTTAGTTTTTTGTGTTTTTTGAAAACAACCTTCTAATCTTAAAAAAAGCCTGCTTCACTCAATTTAGTAATTATTGAGTACCTACTTCATGGCAGGCCTTATTCTAAGAGTAGACATAGCGATGAACAAAGTGCTTGATCTGAAAAACAATGAAAGTGCAAAAGATCAGATGTACAGCTTCAAGCAGCTATATTATTCCATTATAATGAGAATGAATTACTAAAGATTTCTGGAGAAGGTCCCAGCTAACAACTTTACCTCATCATGTTGATTTTCTATGACAATCTGATAAAGATAGAATTATTATCACTGTTAGTTTTAAAAAAGTAATACTTGACCTTAATATGTCACTAGCTGAAATCACCAAGAGATTTTTTGTTGTGGTAGGATTTGAAAATCAGAAGTCTAGTTTTAGGATCTGTTCTCTATGTAACACAAAGCTTTGAAAAGATACTGTCTTTAAAACAAAATGACATTAAAAAGAAATAATGGATGTAAATATCATCTGTAAAGTCTATTTGTATTAATACTCTTATGCAGTAGATTTAGCTTGGAACATGGGTATAACAACTTCATAAAACAGCCTGGTATTACTTGAAGGCACCAGAACAACAATACTATTTTATTGTAACTTCACAAAACTTCTGAAACTATCAAAAAACTATAAATATATAAAAGAAGCCAAATAATATATTAATATTCTTACAAGACAAATGAAGGAGCTAACTTTAAATAAAACCCATTCATCTACTTAATCAGAGCATGAGATACACATGTCTTGAACATCTACTAAATGCCAGACATCTAAGGGCTCTGGTAGGTACCATCAACAGTGATTTAATAGCAAGTTAAGCATTTTCAGAGAATCTTGTTTTTTAAAAAAATTTAATGTAAAGGTGATGTACAGGGGGGTTACAGTTATATAAGTCAGGTAATGAGTACATTTCTTTTTCAACAGTGTCACGTCTTCCCTCATTTTCTCCCAGTTTTTACCCTCTCGCCCCCCTCCCTGTACAAACTGGATAGTTCATTTTCAACATAGTGTCTACTGAATATCACTGCTGAATTAGTTTAACCTTGGTCCCACCATTTCCATGCTTCCCCTTACTCTTCTCATAGAGATCTTTAATTTTCATTTACATAAGTTAAGTATTAAATCCTTCTTTGAGCATCTATGCCCAATTTAGAGTAGATAGGAAGATTATAAAAGCTAGTTCGTTTTAAATAAGGTAATAGGTATCTGACAGATCTAAGCATTTATGTTTGGTCTTTTTTATAGTGGATTTTGTTGGATAACCTGGAAGGTTCTTCTCTAGTGCTAATTCTAGGATAGCAGATAGTGTGACATGCCGGGGGGGGGGGCGGGGAGAAAAGGAAAAAATAACTGAGGTTTTGGTATTTATTTACAGTTGCTAGAGGTGTACTTATGCTCTACAAACAAAATACTGAAGTTACACTTTAGAGCTGGTTCTAGGAAGGTAAAAGCAAAAGTGAGCGGCACCTAGGAAATCATAATGGATTTGGAATTACAAGCTTTAGATAAG